GATAAAGAGGGATAATCCCCCTCGATCCCAAATCATTGAGGCCAATTTCTAGCCATAGAATAATGGCGCGGTTACGTGCTTGCAACGGATCCGTGATTATGTATGCATGTGGATCGAGGCTTATTTAGCCTAAATATTAAATAACTAACTTCATTTTGCTGTTGGTTGATTATCTAACATCAAATTTTTGTCCATATAAAATATAATAAAATAATTCAATAAAATGGCAGTAAGTTTCGCCCAAAAGCGTTTTATGTCCAGCGCTCTACAAAGATTTGTGTACAATTTGTCAGGATTTAATAAATATGGCCTGTGGAGAGATGACCTTTTACACGAAGACGAGGACGTAAAAGAAGCACTAAGAAGATTACCTGAAAATATAGTAGACGAAAGAAATTACCGCATTTTGAGAGCAACACAGCTATCAATTCAGAAAGATATACTCCCTAAAGAGCAATGGACAAAACTGGAAGACGATAAATTATACCTCACTCCCATTGTTAATGAAGTTATTAAAGAACGAGAAGAACGGGAGGAATGGAACAAAAATTATTAACTTGGTTAAAGTAATTCTGATGTAGTTTCGTGTGATTATATAATTAAATTATGTTAATATATTTTTTTTTCTCCATTTTCTGTACATAGTCATCTTCATATTGCCAAAATATCCTATTATCACAGAATAGTTTCATTTGTATTCAAAACAGATTTATCATATTTTCAAAAGCTGAAATGAGTACTATACTGTTCATGAATTTTTTTCATATTGATACACGATTAAAACGCAAATATGAAAAATATATCACTTTTATTTTACAAATGAGTTTTTTAGCACATTTACTTAAAAAATTAGTTAATTCTTACACAACTAATTTAAAACTTAAACCTATTTTATAAAAATATTAAAAATGCTATAGCCTGAAGATGACCGTACAATAAATAGATGTTTCATACAATTAATTTTCATCTTCTTCAATTTTTGGTGCTAAATAAAATCGTAGGTGTCCTAGATCTGGAATTTGGTATTCAACAACCAACGGGACATTGTCCGACATTGATAACTGGACTTGGTTTGTCAAAGGAGTTGCTTTCGTAAACGAGTTAAGATATTGGCACGCAAAAGTTAGTGTTACAGGTTCTTGCATTTCAATAGTAACTGCCTCTTCTTCCTTATCGAAATTGCTAGTTTGAGCAATTTTGACATTTGCACTTCCAATATCACCAGAGGTGGAGAATTTGACTCCTTCCTTTGTGCAGGAAATTACAATGGATTCACCAAATTGTGATAGATCACGGCAAATTCTTGCAAATTCACCAGAAGGCATCTTTATTACACAAGAGAAATCAGTTTCAGGTATTCCAAGATGTTCTTGGTCAAGATTCATAAGTTTCATTTCATAGTCCGATATTTTGTCCTGTTTTTTGGATTCGAACATGAATGTTACGGTATCTGCATCATCTTGTGCTTTTATTGTTACCGTGTCATCATTACTGGAACACTTGAAGATTTTTGACATACTGAAAACAATTTCTTTATAAGATCTAAGTGTTACAAGATTGTTTCTCTTAAAAAAAAAAAAAATGGGGGTTATAAGAAAAGCAAGACGAGTTTGTACCTACCTTCCAAGGTTCATTCCCATAGTTAAATTTCTATCACACCTATACTTGTCGAATCCATCAGACCTCAAATTTAGGGACACTAAAGACACGTGAGAGTTGTCCATAGCTTGTAACTGAATTCCAGATTCCGAACAATCAAAAGAAGCCTCATTTAACAAGTCCTTGATAGCATCTAATACCTTTTTGAAGGTAGCACTGGTTATCAATCTAGCCTCAAACATTTTGGATACTCTTATTTTAAACTAACAATATAACAATACTTTAATGCTTAACGGCTTAACGTTCAACACAACCTTTATACAAATGGCCGGAAAAGCGGAATGGGAGGGAAATTTACGCGCCAAATAATTTTAATAGTGAAATTCAATTATATTTGTTGGCATCAATGTAATAAAACCATAGACCTTATAAACTACTGGACTGCCCAACTGTCATTTTGCCTACATAAATGGCAATCGCTCAGACGTGTGCGAGAGAGATGGTGCTAGTAAGGGCTTAAGCATCGTTCACATAATTTCGACTGCAGCGCGCTATATTTAATTCAACTAATCAGCTAGCTGTATTCGTTTCCTTACCCCTTTTTCTGTTGGGCCGTATTCAAAGACTTTATAAAAATAATATTGAGACCAAAAGACTAAAGAAATTCATTTTTTCCAGTAGTGTAGGTATATAAAAGGGTTTATGATATTACTGGCGTAATTACGGTACAATATTTGAATTGTTTTAGCTGTTCCAAATAGTTTTTATAGTGCCTTATAAATTATAACTTCCTCATATCGTAAACTCGATCGGTTAAAATTACTGCATGCTCTCCTGACGTTGTTGTTTCAAATATTTAAATCATTTTTATGTAAAAGGAAATCAACAAATAATTTTATGACGAAGATCATAATAGTATGATTAGTTTGGATAAGGTTTTTTAACTAATTCGAATCTGCTTAATTTATCTGTGCTGCTAATATGGAATCTGCGCTGTTTTATTCCGTGCTTTGCGTTTCGAATTCGAATGTCGTCACAAAATAGATTGTCGTATTGGTAAATATTTTTGGTGTTCTATGTAAATCAATAACGTTGCATTTGAAAATTGAAATAAGTCATATTTTCAGGTCATTTCGATAAACAGAAATAAGTGTACGGTACGTTGTGTACTAATCTCGACATGTTTAACCAAAGTTCAATAGGATTTGGTGCAAGTTCAACTCCCAGTACTGCTAATCCTATGAAAGACTTCGAGGTGGTCCAACCACCTGAGGATTCTATCAGTTCTTTAGCATTTTCTCCAGCGGCTCTTCCTCAAAATTTTCTTATCGCTGGTAGTTGGGATAATAACGTACGTTGCTGGGAAATTGAACAAAATGGTACTAGTGTTCCAAAATCTATGCAGTCATGTGGGGGACCCGTTTTAGATGTTGCTTGGAGCGATGATGGAACCAAGGTGCCCATTAATATAAAAACATAATTCATATAAAAATTTAAATTATATAAATTTTAGGTATTTATGGCAGGTTGCGACAAGCAAGCTAAAATGTGGGATTTAGCTAGTAATCAGGTAGTCCAAGTTGCAGTTCATGATGCACCTATTAAAACATGCCATTGGATCAAAGCACCTAATTACTCCTGTTTAATGACTGGTTCTTGGGATAAAACATTGAAATTTTGGGATACTCGTAGTCCAAATCCAATGATGAGCATCAATTTGCCAGAACGTTGCTATTGTGCTGATGTAGACTATCCCATGGCTGTCGTTGGAACTGCTGGCCGACACATCGTCGTGTATCAGTTGGAGAATAAGCCTCAAGAGTTTAAAAAGTTGGATAGTCCATTGAAGTATCAACATCGCTGTGTAGCAATTTTCAGGTAGAAATCAATGAATTTTAAATTTAAAATACAGTATAACCTACTAATAACGGACACCCACACGGAAAGTTTATGTAAACAGATTCATCCCATGCTGTTTTAAAGGAAATTTTATGCCTCATACAAAATTTTTTCAACCATCCACTAGAAATTTTGAATTTAGCTGCAAACTTGAGTTGCCTCCAATACCTTTTATTTGCGTAGAGATATGGAAATATTCTTGTCTCGTACCTTACACAACCAATTAAAAATTGTTTTTGTAATAAAACTATGTACACTAATTCAGTGTCATCCCATCTGTCGGCTATTAACAAACAATTTCACATATATTTTCGTGCATTCGTAATAAATCCGTTTTATAGATGGTCTGTTATTAAGGAGATATTATGAAAACCCTATTGTAAAATCTTGTTATTTAGAGGGATCCGCAATTCATAAGTGTCCACAAATAAAAGTTTTACTGTGTATTCTCTACATTTGTATTTGTAACGGAAAATAAAAATTTTTTAGAGATAAAAAGAAAATTCCAACGGGATATGCTCTGGGTTCCGTGGAGGGACGAGTGGCTATTCAGTATGTGATTCCCACAAATCCCAAAGACAACTTCACTTTCAAATGCCACCGCTCCAATGGAACACCTAATGGGTACCAAGATATTTACGCCGTAAACGATATTGCTTTCCATCCTGTGCACGGTACTTTAGCAACAGTGGGAGCTGACGGCACATTTAGTTTCTGGGATAAGGATGCCCGCACTAAATTGAAACCCTCCGAGTCGATGGAACAACCCATAGTGCGGTGTGCGTTCAATAATAACGGACAGATATTTGCTTATGCAGTTAGTTATGATTGGAGCAAAGGACATGAGTTTTATAACACGCAGAAAAAGAATTACATATTCTTGAGGCCTTGCTATGACGAACTTAAACCTAGAACATCTTAAGGTTTTAAGTCGTTAAATGTTTAAATAGGACAGAGTAGTCTTTTATAAAATTTCTGTGTATTCAAGCTGCTGTAGCACAGTGTAGGCTTGCAGTGTCTGATATTATCTACAATCAATCATTTAATGGTAAACAGCATAGATTTATATTTATATTTGATCATTTTCCTTTGAAACTTTCTTAATATACCGTAAAACATGCCTACTTTGCCCATGAAAATTTGTTTTTTTGGACAAATATTTTATATGCACATGTATAAATGTAAATTAAAATTACCTTGCAGTCACACTAACCGTTGGATATTTATTTTAACTATCAGTTTTGTAATAGGTGGGCACATGTGTCAAAAAAAATAAATTGGGGCAAAGTTTGGGATTTCTTCAACTTTCCCGGCTGTATAAATTTCACTTTGGAGACAATTTGAAGGATCTTTAAACAACTATGCTCATCAAATAAGTTTTTAAAAAATATTTTAAGATGTGTGGAAGAGGTAGGGATTTTAAAAACCAAAAAATTGTAACGTATTTTTATTGAAAAATATTAAAAAAATGCCAATTCTAAGGCAAAAGAATATAAAAAAAATAAATAATACATTCTAAACAAACTTAAAAATTGTAATCAGTTGCGATAACATCACAGTCGTTTCCCACTGAGCATAATACAGCTTATAAACTGTAGGATTTTAAGTTATCCTTAAAAATGAGACCTTTTAGTGGATCTGATAAACTTTTGACTACGTCAACAAAAAAGACTTCAGAAATATCATCCTTTTCAGGAAATAAAAAGCCCGCCTCATATTAAAAAAAATTTAACTGAAAATATTGTCTAAATCTGATTTTTCCAAAATGAGTCCAATAAAATGTCTTACAGTTTTTTCCGTCGGAAACTGAACCACAACAAATTTTCCTGGTTCTAAGTTATCTGGATTAAAATGGTTGTCTTCAAGATGATTTTCTTTTGATGCATCACTGTTTGTATCACTGATTTCTGAAACAATACCTATCTTCATAATTTTCATTGCCTTCCTCGTTCTCGTTCTCTTCAGCTAAGTCAACTACCTTCCCCTTTATGAAATCTTCATACTGCAAAGATTCTCCTGCATGTATATTAACTTTTTTCTTTTTCCCTTTCTTAATGGCTTCTCTTTTAGAATCCTTTCTGTCTTTAAGGAAAGTCAATACAGCATGGCTAATTTCAGTGTTGACTCTCGTTTTAAATCGTTTTCCAGGCATTTTCTTCAAGACTTCGTGGGAATTCAATGAATATATTCCTGTTGCACCATTTTGTATATTCTTAAAATTTGGATTTATTTTATTCATTAGTTATGTCAACAACTGAGGAAATATGCTTTTTTCTACACAATTTATATTGCGTTGTTTTGTTTTTACATCCGTTAAAATCGATCTCCATGTCTGCTTTAATGGCGTAAAAAGGCTGACATCTAGAGGCTGTGTTGACTGAGTTGAGTTCGGTGGTAAGAGAACAAACCTTATGTTATGTTGTTGACATTCTTGCAATATTTCTATGTTTATGTGTGACGACAAGTTGTCACCGATTAAGAATAGATTCTGCATCTTTCTTAGCCCAAGGAATTATGACTTTTTTAAACCAGTCATGAAAGTCGCGGAATTGAACCATCCTAATTTAGTTCTTTTATAAAATGTTTTACAAAGGTAAACAATCTCCAGCTGCGGTCCCTGCAAACATGATAGAAATTGCACTTTTAGTGGAATTCATATATCGTTCAGGATATTTAGTTCCACGTCTAAAAAGAAGTTTTGAGTTTCTGGGTTGTCGCTAAGATTTGTTTCATCATAGTTAACTATATTTACCAAATTTTCTATCCAACCCATTCCTGGAAGATTTCCATCTCGAAAATAATTGTCTTTTGCCCCTTTGGAATATAAATAATATTTCACTAACATTCTCACTTCAAGTGGAGCTAACGGAGATCCAAATTCTGCGCATGCTATTATAACGTCTGTCGTCTACCAATTGACGTCCTTCAATGTCGTTTGTGGCAAGGGGATGACCCACGGGCTTCAGATGTCTTTTATTTTATTTATTCAGGAAAGTTTGCTAGGAATCTTACATAGTTGCTCAGCTTCTCTAAAGCTTAATCCATTGTGAATTGCTGTTAAAGCCCTTTGTAGAGTTTTTTGGGTATAATTTCGATACCTCCTCGAACCTAGTGTTCTTCTAATTCTACCCATATCTAAAAAAGGACCTCGTTACTTAGAAAATAATTTTCATCAGTATAAAGTTATTTTGTTGAGAAAAATAAAGATTAAAAAAACAAACTAGCTTAAAAAGAATTCAGTACGATATATTCTAACCTAAAATAAAGGTTCACATTTATATTTTAGCATAAAAACTCTTTTTTTGCTGAGAAAAATAAAATTTTATAAAAACATTTTTAAACAAGAACTACCTATCAACATTGCCCGGTTACTTGTTACCACATAAAAAAAAACGTTTGTAATGTATATTTAGTTAACGGATATTCTCAACAAATAATTATAACAAAGATCTTGACAAAGTTTCGTTGAAATAAATAAAATAGAAACCAAGCAGCAATGCTTAAAGTTTAAAGAACTACGAGTTGACGTGACCGTCGGTGTTGCCACTTTTCACAACTTGAATTTTTCCGTTATCTCTGCCTTGGGCAAAGTTGTCCCTTCTGGGCAAAGTAAGCAGGTTTTACCGTACATTTTTTAAATATGTTGTCGAATTTTGTAACGTAAAAATAAATATTTAAATATTGTAAAATATTTAAATTACTTCATTTTGTAAAATATGAGTTTTTTTTTTCAGCAAAACATATTTAATAATAATAATAATACTAATAATTTATTTTCCTCAGAGTCATAATATGTACAGGAATAGTCAAATAAAACTTACAAACTAAGGCAACGTAGGTAAAATTTCCAATATGGAATAAAAACATTTTTCCATTAAAAACCGCTAAAAAAGCTTTCTTAAAGAAATATTCACTTTTCAGTAATTTTAATTGGTTAGGTAACTTGGACCTAAACAGGAGAATTGGACGTTATTCTTATTCTAGCGAATGGAACCTGTAAATTAATATTTTGTCTTGTGTTATACTTGAGGAGTGCATCATTTAAAAGAAATTACTTTTATTTTTGAAAACATATAAACAGGTCTAAAATATGAACAAACATGGTAAAGTTAGAATTTTAAAATTTTTAAAAATATTACACGAATAATGACCGGGAACTCTTACCATATATCTTAATAATCTCTTCTGTGCTATAAAAATTTGTATAAAAAATGTAGAATTTCCCCAAAAACAGAGACGCGAGATGCAACTTGTGCATGATATAAGCAAAGAAGTTGTTCCATACTTATATATCGGCCTTAGATTGCGAAACAAATAAGTAAGAGAGGAAATTTTATTAGTTAATAACACAGTGAATTTTCCAATTCAAATTTTTGTCTATGTTCAGACCTAAAAATTTTATTACCTTAACATCAGCACTTAAGTCATCATTTCCTATGGTAAAACCCATCATATCACAATATTTCTGCGAGCTATGAAATCTTATAATATTGTTTTATTAGTATTAAAATACAAATTATTCTCAGAGAACCATTTTGTTAGATCTTTTAATAAGACATTAGAAATTGTCTCCAAATCCTTATCGTTTGGGTTCGATCTAATTAAAGATGTGTCATCCGCATACATGGTAAAATTTGTGCTTGGTGAGATAGCATGCAAATCATTAACATATATTAAAAACAGCACCGGCCCTAGAATTGAGCCTTGCGGTACACCCATCTTTGCAGGATACGGCACCGAACAAATAAATATTTTCTATTGAGATATATTGGATTTTATTCGACACGAAAGTTTACAACCGATTAAGAAGTAAACCTCTGATATCACAAGAAATCAGGTTATATATCGGCCTCTGATGGTCGACACAATCGAATGTCTTACTTAAATCGCAGAAGATACCGGCCAGGCGTTCACCAAGCTCTATAAAATTATAAACCTTTTCTAAAAAAGCATGGATAGCTGTGCCTGTAGACATACCACTACGAAACCCGTGTTGATCCTTGGTTAAAATATTAAATTTGTCCAAAAAATATAAAATATTTTTGAAAATGCGGCAGGACTTGTTACAGATTTGAAATTATTCATATTATTTGTATCGCCACTTTTATAAATTGGTACAACCCTCCCAGTTTCCAGGGACTCTAGAAATGCGCCACACACGAATGATAAGTTAATGAGATATGTAATTGGATCTAGGTATAATACAATCAATAACTCTTTATTAGAAAAGTTGGTATGTCATCAGAACTTGACGATTTTTTGTTTTTTAATTTTCAGCAAAGTCAGAATTTCAGCCAGAGTAAATGGATGTAAATAACAATTTTTTGTATAAATATTAATATTCAAGTTGCCTACCCTATTAGGTATAAGGTCAACTACTCTCTGAGGGGCGATTATAAAAAGTCATTGAACGATGAAGCCACTATCGCAGGTTCAATATGAGAAATTCCATCCATTTAATTGTTGAAAGATTTATATCTCACATTCGTATGAGCTGCTCAATTATTTTGTTTGTTATCGGTCTACACAATTGCTTAGAAATTGGGAATTTCAAAATCTGGGTTTTCATTAAATCTAGCTAGTCAATTCCAAAATTTCGTTCCTTTTTTACACTTTTAAATATACAGGCAGTTAATTAAGTTATTTTAAACAAAAATTGCTATATTAACATAGATTTGCAAAATGATAGTTTTTGAGATACAGGGTGTTGAAATTCAGAAAAAAGTTCACTTTTTCTAAAATATCTCTGAAGATGATTGATATATGTAGAATGACGAAACTTAGGCTAATGATTTATCTAATTATAGGTAGAAATCCAATGAATTCAAATATAAATATGTGTATCAGGAGTGGAGATACTGGGATTATTTTCATCAAGAATCCTAGAATCTCATTTTATTTAATTAAACGTAACGTGACTTTAGACCTGCTCGTTTCGCAAAAAAAAATTATTGATTTTTTACAATTTCAAATAAATTGTAATCGTGAAAAGTCCAAGTAATTGACTTAATTTTTTTTTTTGGACGATATCCCTTGCTCCCTCTAATAAAATTGCAACATTTTATGCTATGACTCATTATGTATTTAAAACTAATTTTAGCAAAAGATCCTATGAACTTTACTAGACAAATGAGTACCTAGTTCAACTGATTAATGTCGTTGAAAATTGAAATAATAATAAATCAAAAATGGTTCATTTTGCAAATAAAATGAAAGATAGCTTTTATCTTGGAAACAGCACAAAAAGTTACGGGTAGTGATTGAATTTTGGAAATATTAGGTGGTGTTGAATTTGTAGGGTCTTCTGTGAGAGGGACTTTCGGATTTTTGCCTTTATTAATATGATTCATAAGCTTAAGTTTCATCATTCTGGATTAAAAATCTTCAGATATATTTAAGAAAATTTGATTTTTCTCTAAAACTATTCACCCTTCTTCGTTTAAGATTATTGAAAGAATCACTCCTTACAATTTGTCAATTTATTTGATTAACACCCTGTATTGGAGATAAATATGTTGAAACGTTTTGTCTAATATACATTTTTCCGTTTTAATAAAGCAAATGTCACTAAACTCACTCATAAATAAGTTCTACAGATTTGCAATTTAAAATTTAGATTGCAAATAAAAGAATGTAAATTCTAAATGTGATTGCTTTTTTTTAAAGCAATACATATCACAACGAATTACATAGTATTGTCTCTTTCACTGTTTAAACTGCAAGCAAAAAGATAACTATCCCCACACATTGCTCTTCAAACGATTCAAGAACAGATTATTGACTGTCCTCTTCAATATGAGGTTAATTATTTTAAGAAAATGTGACATTTTTTATGATACTGCCCTGCCATTTTTTTAAAGCAAATTTACCATGCTTTTACAAGCATTCCAAATCCACGAGATTATTTATTTTAATACTGAAAATAAATAAAAAATGTTAGGTTCTATATAAAAAAAAATAACAAATATTTTAAAACCTATTATATTCAATAACATTGTACAACTACACTAATAATTCATAATATTAATGGTCACTGCTGTGATCGTGGCTGCCGTGTCCATGATCACTAGGATATATTTTGTCATACAAGGCAGTGCCAGCAATAGTTACGAGGAAAGCTGCAAAGCCATATTTGAAACCTCTAAAGAAAATTAGTCTTCCACGGGCCTTCTCAGTTCCCCATTCTTTAACGTTATATCGCCAGACTTCATTGCGCAGCCAGGGGTCTTTCAAACCTTGAGCAGCCAGAGCTTTTTCTACTGCTACTAATTCAGGAACGTCAGCTACTTTGAATATTTTATAGTCTGGGATCGTGTAAGGTTCGTGATGACCGTGGCCATGTCCCCCCATTTCTTAAAAATAATAACATAACCTTAAAACATTACATAATTGGGTAAAAATTTATTCTGATAATTTTTGTTAAGCAGTATTGTACATCTATAAATTATTGGGTAACTTAAAATTGAAAAATAAATTACATACCTGCAAATTCAGTCCACTTCAACCAATGCTCTTTTCCTATCCCAAGTAAACTTTTTGGAATTTTTGACAGGTTTTGACAATTGGAATTGACAGTCAGTTTGTTCTTCGTCGTGATTTTTCTGATCGGAGTAAGATTTGCTGTTTCTTGGGCAAAAGTTTTGTTCTAATCTAATCCGGTTCTGTTTCGTGGGCAAGATCAAACTGCTCTAGATCAAGAAAAATCACGCTTTATCTGCTCCACCTTGGAATAAGAGCCCTTTTCTTTTATTCATGATTTCGGAATCATAACGCGTAACGATCCGACGAAAACCAATCAGGTCGGTAGATTTCGGATTGTAACGCTTTATGAAATTATGATTCTGAAATCACGAATAAAAGAAAACAGCTAAGTGTGAGTTAGAGCCGCTTGGAGTTTGAATTGACCTTGACTTTTACCGGTCTTTTGTGGAGCACATTAACCTATAAAATTTACTGAAACCTGAAATCAAAGAATTAACCTATGTATAGTTCGTATATGTTAATATTCTTTACTGAAGTTATTGTATGATTTAACTGTGCTTTGAAACTGTTTATTAAATTGTCTTTATAATCTGTGCTGTTTATAGTGTTTCTGTCTTGTATTTGTTTCTGAAAAAAATGGAAAACATGATAGATGTAAACGTTGATGATGTTGTTGATGGACATTACGTTATAAATGCTGTCCTTTATAATCTGTGTATCTAATTTACGGTTTACACCCAAATGAAATAAAAGTTACTCTGAACACATCGATCGCATTTTCTCGTTTATCGAAACTATATGCAAAGTGATCTGAAGTAAACTAGAGCGTAACGAAGAACAAACCTAGTATGACAGTTCGATTATTATTTGATATTTGATTGATATCCTAGATAAATGATACTGATTGATATTTCGCGTATTTACTGAGCTCTGAGCATTCCATTGAAGTTGCATTTTCGTAATGGGATCAAATCATCAGAGTGAATATTCATAAGACATTTTCTTGTTCCGACCACTCCGATACAATTATCAGGTGCGTTTTGTTGGATTCATTCCGGAATTGAATTATACAGAATGCGCGAGATCTCGCTCTTTTTATTTCGTATACACTCTCGCTCATCTTTGTCAAATCTTGCTCGTTTTAGTACCCTTCAAAACGATCAGTTTACCTAAATATGAATTAATGCACAAATAACAAACTTTCCCCAATTTTAACGCAGATTTTCTATAAAATAGACAGTTTGAAACTTACATTACTTTTTGGTGTAAAGAAATTTGTAATTTACGATGCTGCTTGTTCAAAAGCGTCAAATTACAAATTTCTTTACAACAAAAAGTAATTTGAGTTTCAAACTAACTCCATTTTATAGAAAATTTGTGATAGAATGGAGGAAAGTCTGTTATTTATGCATTAATTCATATTTAAACAATCTGTGTAATAAAATCTATAAAAATGCATTGCTGGTTGCCTATATGGTTTGCTAGATACCGACCAACTACCGACAGTCGAGTCGGAAAGTCGAAACATTTGTCGAATGGCCAGATAATGTTAATTTTTAATTTCTTCAGTCTTTATTTAAATTTAAAATTAATAAAAACCTACTAACCTACTAACAAAAACTATGGAATTGTACCTATAATCTAGTGAAGTTTGGCTATTCTATTTTTGTATTATAGACACAGAGGAGGGTCCTCTGTGGTAGACACAAAATATATAATAGACCTTGTTCCCTCTAATAAAAATGCAACATTTTATGCTATGACTGATCATGTATTTAAAATGAAAGATAGCTTTTAGCTTGGAAACAGTACAAAAAGTTACAGGTAGCGATCAAATTATATTTGGTGGCGGGTTTTCGGTGATAAGAACTTTCGGATATTTACCTTGATTTATATGAATCATTAGCATAAGTTTCATTATTCTGGATAAAAAAATCTTCAGATATATTTTAGAAAAGTTGATTTTTCTCGAAAACTATTCAATCTTCTTCGCTTAGATTTACTGAAATTGCTCCTTACAATTTGTCCATTTATTTAATTAACACCCTGTATAGTAGAAAAATATCTCGGAATGCTTTATCTAATATACATTATTCCATTTTAATAAAGCAAATGTCACTAAAACTCACTCATAAATAAGTTCTACCGATTTCAATTTAAAATTTAGATTGTTTGCAAAGATTGTAAATTCTAAATGCGATTGCTTTTTTTAAAGCAATACATATTACATAGTTTAAACTGCAAGCAAAACGATAAACCTGTTCAATTCCCACAAATTACTCTTTGAACGATTCAAGAATAGATCCCCTGAAGAGATTATCGACCATCCTCTACAATACGAGGTTCATTATTTTATTAAAATGTGACATTTTTTATGATACTGTCCTACCATTTTTAAAAAAAGCAAATTTAGCATGCTCTTAAAAACATAAACATACCAAATCCATGAGAATGTTATTTTTAATTATTTTAATTTTGTTCATAAAAATATTAATTACAAAATTTAAAAATTAAAGCCAGCTGTACATTAACTATTTGCATTCTTCTAATATTCTATGAAACAAATTTTTCTTCTAATAATGTGAAATAGGTTAACCTATTGTACACCAACAAAAATTTGAAACTCGTACCAAAGTTCATGGCTAAGCTTTTGGTATATCATAATTTCTTAACTATTATTTTCTTTTTTATAAAATTATCTTTTTCTGGGATCAGTCAATAAAAATACAACATTGCAAAAATGAAATGGTTTTTATTGACAGATTTCCCGAAAAAAATACATTTTGTCTAAAAAATGTAGGTTTTAGGTATATTCTTTAGTCGTAATACATATCTTATTTCCATAATTTTCACTTCCAGCATCTCATTCTGCATTCATTTAATGACAAAATGATATTAAATTAACAATCTACTTACATATGTAAAAAAATAAAACGTGCAGGTTAATACATTAAAAATAAATATTAATAGCAAATGGTGGACTAAATTGCTTATTATAAATTTAATCTGTTGGATTCTGAACTACTATAAGAATAAATTCTTTATCTGGAGCTACCATAATCTCGTGTTTCTTTGACCGAATTCTTAGAAAGGTAAGATCGTTAGAAGGATCCAAATCACGTACGACACTTCTCGCTTTATCTGCTAATGAACTTATTAATCCTGCATATTGAACTGTAGTTGTATTGTCCAAAGTTGATTTAATGGGGATTCCTACAACAACCATGTCAATTCAATATTCATTTTATGTATACACATTACCCTCAGAGTTGACTACTATTGTCCCAACAACACCTTTGTGGGATTGAATGCGTTTCATGGTTTCTTCTACTTCGTTGGACTATATAAGGATTAATGATTATTACTGCAGCAATAAATTAAAATAAGTACTTACCATTTTTTATTTATTAAATTGAAAGTGATAGAGCGAATTTACTACAGCACAATTTCTTTGCAAATTGTGTCGATGTCTCGTCTGCTCTGCTCTGTTTATGAATGATGGATGACAGATGACGTCATTGGAACAATTTTTTGCATTGTCAAGTTGAAAACTGGTTATATAATTGTTAACATGATTATATATGGTTAGTCCGTTTAGTACTTGTTTTTTATTTTCTGTAGTCATTGTACTACATTGGTGTTTAGAGAATGTATAAAATATATTGTACAGGTTTACATTATTCACTGAATGTCTGTAACAGGCAACCAGTGATCATGTTAATTGGTTGAAACACTTATTGGTTATTTTGTATTCGAGAAAAATGTTCTAATGTCAATGTCATATAACGAATACAACTCTAACCTTAATTTTTCTAATTTATTTTCATAGGATAAAATGAGTAGGAATAAAGAGCTTATTTCGAAAATTGGCTTACGTTTAGATGGTAGAAGGGCTAATGAGTTGCGGCGAATTCGTTGTAAGTTAGGTGTTTTTACTGAACCGGATGGAAGTGCATATTTGGAGCAAGGGTTAACTAAGGTTTTAGCAGCCGTTTATGGACCACATCAGGTATTTTCCATTTTCTCATTAACTTTACATTAAATAGAATAGAACATTGTGGAAAAATATATAATCATACCATCTGTAAAATTAACTTGGGTTCTTTCTTATGTTCTATGTATATTAGGTCCGTAATAGATCAAAAGCTCAACACGATGCTGCTATAGTAAACTGTCAGTTCAGTATGGCCGTGTTTTCAACAAACGAAAGGAAACGTAGGCCTAGAGGTGACAGAAAATCTACAGAATTATCTATGCACCTACAACAAGCCCTTTTAGCAGTTATAAAGATTGAATTGTACCCTTGGTCTCAAATAGATGTCTATGTGGAAGTTTTACATGCTGATGGAGGTAAACTATAATAATATTCAATATGAATTGAGAAATATTAAATAAAAATTTGTTTTTAGGTATTTATCCTGCCTGTGTTAATGCTGCAACGTTAGCTCTCATAGATGCTGGAATTCCTATTAAAGAATACGTTTGTGCTTGTACGGCAAGTTTGGCCAACAACGACATTCCCATGTTAGACATCTCCCATCAAGAAGAAGTAATGGGTGGTCCAACTTTAACAGTAGCTGCTTTACCGATATCTGGGAAGATTGTCTTGATGGAAATGTCGCAGAGATTTCATTTGGACCACTTGCAAAAAGTGTTAGAGAAAGCTTTGCAGGGCTGTCGCGACATTAAGCAGATATTAGATGAGGCCGTAAGGCTGCACGTGAGGGACGTGGGATGTTCAACAGGGTGGGCAAATACCACTAGTTAAGATTTTGATAAAAGAATACATATATTTCTAAGTTATAAGGTTATACAAATAAAGTAATTTTTACAAATATCGTGTAATATTTATTTCTTAAATAAAAAGTGGGTACATTATAAATAAAAAATCAACAAAGTAACAATAAAGCAGGCAAATATAAAAGTTTTAGGGGTAAGGCCACAGGTAGACACCGTATTTTTATTCTTTTATAATTTGAATAAAACCTTAAATATCAAATACTTTTGCTTGTAAAATTGTTCTTTAGGGGTAGCATACATTTCTAATTATTATATTTGCTTTTAAGGATTAAAAGGTGTACTTATTAGTTTGGTGTTGCATCAGGATGTCTTTCCAAAATCATGGCTACAGCCTGTAATAAAAGTTTTTATCATTGTGTTTATTATTTCCTTTTATTTTACGGAAAAATAAAAAAAAATGTAAAAAATATTTGATATTATTTTATTCTACTTATTTATTAAAATACAGTCAACCTTGGTTATAGCCATAGCATATGTAAACTAGAAAATTCACTCGTTATCAGCACTTTGATTTTTTTTCAGTTCCTTTCAGTGTTCTTGGTTGGAGGGAGCGATCACACTTGTAAGAATATTTTTCCGTGCGCAAAAGCGTATTAAAATAGATAATGATTGAGATAAATACATTGCTATTGTTAAATAAAATTAACGGGATTCTCAAGTAAAGGATTTTAAATGTTTCTAAATTTACATTTTATATCAAAATATTAAAGAGTATTATTACCAGAAAATTTCTTCTTTTTTTTATTGGTATATATTTTATATGCATCTATTTTCATAATTATACAGTGTGTTCAAGATAAGGATGGGACAGCATTAGGATCAATTATTAGAAAAAAGTTATTTTTTATACCTAATAATATGCCATTTAGAAAATTTTAAAATTCCGGTACTTCAGGGGATATCCGAAATTTTGCAAAATCGTTTTATTTTTTTCTGATTTTATTTGAAAACGAATTTTAAAATAAGTTGTATATTTATTGGCACTTTTTACGCTCTATCCAATGGTGTCAACATTTTCGCAATCCGACGTTTTGTCTTCAGGTTAATTTTTTTAAATAAGTCGCTGTATTTTTATGTCAAACTCTAGTCATTTTTAATTATGAATTAGATGATATTACTATTGTAATCGCTTTAAAAAGTTTTTAGCTTATTTTAGCTATCATTTAAAATTTTTAGGGATCGACTGATATACGATTTTTGGCCGATACCGATATATCAAAGGCCGATATACCGATATATTGGTCTATCGGCTATTTCCGTTGCGAGTTAGGTGGTTTGCATTGAAAACCTGCGGAATCCGTCGTCACATAACATTTCCTCGTGTCAGTGGAGTTTTAGTTTAGCATCAAGTATTTTATCTCTGCAATTCGATGTAAACCAATGTAATAAAAACCAGTAAAATAAAATTATAATAAAATGCCCACATTAAGCCCATTATGCAAATTTTTACAAAAAATATGTGAAAACAACAAGAAAACTGAAAGTCCAGACTATATTTCATGCAAAAAATCTGTTTCTTTTTTACATCACAACTTGCCTAAATTATATTATAGTTTTGATGACTTTTCACATTTTTTAATTATATTTTGTTTTTTTTCTCATGCCTCTTAAGTATAGTTTTAATTTATTAATCATTTCTTGTAACTAATTAAATTACATATATGTACTTATTCTTTGATTTTTTTCTGCTAAAACCAAATACTAATTACTGTTGCATTACATTTGATTTATCATTTATTTTAGCCAAAAAATGATCTATATGGCACTTTGGTACAAATAAACTATGTATTTTTCCAGTGTTATTATTTGATTTTCAAAAACATTTTTGTATTAAAAATATATATCGGTCTATATCGGCCGATACCGATAATCGGCCAAAGAGGCCGATAAAGCTGATATATACATATACCGGTATCGGTCGATCCCTAAAAATTTTTCCAGAGAGCTTTGAACGCTTTCAAAATATATTTAAAAAAAAATCTTAGATATTTTGTGCTGTATTGACTTTTATGTTGCTATGATTTCCTCCAGTAGATATTTTGCAAGCGTTCAGAGCCGTACTCAGGAAGCAGCGATGTATTTAAAAAAAATTAACCTGATGGTGCGTAAAAAGTGTCAATGCAAATATGCAAAATTTATTTTAAAATTCATTTTCCAATAAAGCCAGAAAAAAATAAACCGGAATTTTAAAACTTTCTAAACGGCATATTATTAGGTATAAAAAACAACTTTTTTCTAATTTGAGCCACCATCTTTTACCGTTTCCTAGATCCTAGTGCTAGTCCATCCTTATCTTGGGCACACTGTATACGATCTATATGATGCCATTAACATTAAATATAAATAAAATAAATTGTTACATTTCTTCGAGATTCTGAATAATTAAATCAGATCAGATTAGAAGACTAGCCTAGGCTATAAAACTGAATTTAATTTGAATAGCATTATATAAGCCACATATAATTTAAAAACCCACTAGAACTACCTTCACAAACGTAAAAATAAGAAAACAGTGTACAAAATAACGTATTTAAAATAAGATTAATGAAAAATATGAGAAAATGTCATTTGAAATCATAAAATTATGAGCATTTTGATGTCTCTTTCACATTGTTAAACATTTTAGTTCTAATTTTTAGTGTTTTGATAATTACTGTTCATTTTAACAGACTGTTTTTCATAAAATTTAAATAAATTTTAAAATAATTTGGGAACGTCACAACCAAATTCAAAGATAATTTTACTTCTATATGTAGAATTTAACGCGGAATTCAAATATCGTCTGTTAAAAGTGTAAATCCACTACAGAAGATCTGCCACATCCAAAATAAAAATTTATAAGAAAAAACTAAAAAGCCCCATAAAATGTAATTTCATGACGTTGGAAATAAAACGATAATTTTATCAAATTGTTATGGTATTCTATTAAAAAAAATCAATGTTTGTCACGCTCTCACACATCAACCAGTTTGACTTTGAATTTAAACAGAACTTGTGGATGGCAAGAATTGTGATGCAGGAACCAAACTGACACAACCTGTGCATTTTTATTCTACTATTGCGTCGGAAAAATTTGTTATTACACGCAAAGGTCCATAATACACGAATTCACTGTAAACGAGTATTCATTTTAGACAAGTCTATCAAATCCGTTCATTTTAATCGAAGGTTTGCTGTGGTCAGGTATGTTATAACCAAGGTTGATTGAACATAAAATTAAAATTTAAATGAAAATAATTTACTTTTTTATAAATTATAGAAAACATTACAAAGAATGTAAATTGTCACTCACCTGTCCTCCAGCTGCACAAGCAGCAATAAGTCCAAACTGTCCGTCTTCTCTTACGAGCCTGTTGGCGGTATGCATTGCAAGCCTCACACCCGTTGCAGCAAATGGATGTCCAATGGAGAGGGAACCACCCCACTTATTGAATTTATTCAAATCGGGAGCTCCAACTTTGCCGTTTCTTTTCATATACTTCTGTGCGAAGAAATCGCTATCCATCGCTTTGAAATTAGCCAGAATTTGGCCCTAGAAGTGTTAAAAATGTTATAATATTCATTTCCAGAGTTTCTTCTGAAGGAGAGAGCGACGTCTCTCGCAAAAGTAAAGATTGACGAGTGTAATACTCAAACAATAAATATGATAACAGCATCTACTTACAGCAAAAGCTTCATGGAACTCCCAAACATCGATGTCCTTCATGGTTAGGCCTGCCTTTTCCAAAATTGTAGGGGTACCGTAAGCAGGACCCAAAAGTAGCTGGTCAATGGGATCTTGTGAAACAAACGTAAAGTTCCTCAGGTAGGCTTTTGGTTTAATGCCCAGCTGCTTTGCTTTTGATTCTGTTGTAACTATGCAAGCTGATGCACCGTCAGTCTATAAAAATTTTTAATGAAGGATGATCCTAAATATCTCCCTATGATTTAATCACAAAATAAGGAAACTTTTTTCTACAAACTTTTTTCCAAAAATTGATGAGGTATAAAAGATGTCATATCTTAAAATCCTTCGAGATACTTACAATTTAAATTTAAACAGATTATAAGGGTATAAGGGGTATTTGTAATGAATATTCACTGTATATTATTCCAGTTCAATTTAGTTAAAATAATTTTTGAGAAATTCCAACCTACATTTGTAAAAAATTTCATAATATCAACGTTGATATACATAATTTAAAATTTGCTCAAGATAATCAATATACAGTACAATCGGTTAAGGCTATATCTCGGAGAGCAGTCATGCTGCAATTTCGAGGTAAAAAATCAATCTATCTATAGCCAAAAAAGTTGATTTAAAAAGATTTTAACTTGATCACCTTGGAGCACATTTTTTACAAAAAAAAATCATTTCACAATATCTTGCAAATGTTTTTTTTTAATATCTTCTATAAAATTTTTGCTAATTATCCTGGCAACAGCAAGAATGAGGACATGTTGAATTTTTTAATGATGTAAATTTGCCTTATTTAATAAACTGTCGTCTCTATCTCAATATAAAAGGCTCTTTAATCTGATTCATATTTATTATAAACAACTAAACAGTTAATTTGTATGATCAACAACAGGGAGCTTTTTAAAATAATGGTAATATTTGGTCCAATTCTGTAAATAAAGTTTAAGTTAAATGCAATCTTAACTTTTTTTGTTTTGTTTGATAGATCAGGAAAATAAATATGAAAACGGTGATACCATATCTATTTCCGTTTTAAAATTTTTGCAAAAATAGTGCAAGAGTAAGAGATAAAGCAAACTCATGTTACACATTATTATAAAGAAAAAATCATTACGTTATTCTCCCCTTCTTGTTGCCATGGTAAATAGAAAAATATTGTTGAAACAAAACTTGTAGGAGAAGAACAGAGATTATAAAATACATATTTCCTACTTACGTTATATGCTAAATTTTTAACATATAGCAAAAATGTAATATTTACCATCACCCTTTTTACCCACTCTTGGAGAAATATTATATAGAAACTGCTACTTTTTTTGTATATTATCTATCCTAAAGATATCGCAAGACAATTTTTTATATGTCCGTATGTAGTGTTGTAAAATGTACAAGAATTTATTTTTGGGAAATTTTCGTCAAGCACAAATGAAAATAAATGAGAACAAATAAACATAAACACAAAGGACCTGGGAATTTGTTTTACATAATTGTTATAAAATTAAAAATGCGAGATATTCATGTTTTGTAAATGATGAAAACTTTCATTATTCTTGAAAATGCTCTTAAGGAGGTTCGATAGATCTCTTGCGGGGCAGGCGGTGCGGGAGGTAAACCTATGTTTATACACGGGAGTTTCGTTGTAGTACCAACCTTACATAAACTAATTTGAGAGAACTGAATATAATATATGCGAATGAAATTTATACAACACATATTAGCTCGCATATATTTGTCGTCATTAATGCATGGCAATTGACTTTTTATTTGAATAAAAGTGTCTATTTATTTATTAAGAGCTTGTAAAACTATGGGCGAAACCTTAAACATGAATGAACATCTAAGATACAAAGGAAAAGTAATGACTGAAAAACAATATAAAAGGCATATGAAACAAATAGAATGTGGATTGATGAGAGAAAAAAGTAAAATGTGTAAACCTAGAATCCATATGACAACTATCAAGAGCCTCAGTGTATGGTAGTGAGACGTCAAATTGAAGATTATGACAGAACATCTATACTGTTCGTTTTGCAAAGAGATCCTTTCAATTTTTGTTTCAAATTGCTGCTAGGTATATTGCTCTAGATCACGAAAAATTTATTTAATATTAATTATTACTACATATGTTTGCGACTGGAATAATTTTATAGTCTAATAATCGAGTTACTCAAATAGTATAGCGCGTCAGTCGAAGCGTCTAATACAGTGTACATGTTGCCATATTTCCTTCCATTGGATCAGATGTTTGTTCAAATTTGTCAAAATGTTATCTACTCATTCCATTATCTCAATAATTACATTGTAAGTGCATATTTTTATTGTTTTAAAATGTTTATTAATATTTAATTATTTAGTTACAATTTCATTTTCCCGATCCTAACCATTTTTAAGAGCAATATTCTCGTTTGATTAAAGTTTTTTCCCAACCCCCATAAGAGCCTGTGTATAAGAGCATAATTTTTAATATCACTTTTTAAAAAAACTACGTTGGCAATCGATGTGATATTTTTACCCGAGGCAGTATGCATATTTATTAATAGATTTCAATTGTTTTGAAAACTTTCTTACCATTTTCTTTTCGGTATCGAACCTCCTTAAGTGCTCCTATATTTTTAAATATTTATAAAAGCAATATATAAAAAAGAACTTATTAAAATGCAGTATACTTCTCGGTGAAATTTGGGAAAATTCAGAAAAATGATCCTTTTTGTGGTTCAGAGTAGAACATTCAATTTCTCCTGCATGAACATTTGCGAATATATTCTCAAGCGTACATTGACAACATTACAACAATATGTCCAATCAATCGTCAAGTTTAAGATCCAATTTAAGAATTGCTTTACTTAACTATGTTTTCTTAAGCATATTCTTACCAAAAAGGATGCATTTGCTGCGGTAATGGTGCCGTGAGGTTTAATAAAAGCAGGCTTCAAAGCAGCCAATTTCTCAGGACTCGAAACACGAATGCCATTATCTCTGTCGATTATTTTAGTTTCTCCAGGTATCTGAATCGGGATCAAATCTGTCAAGTAGCCTTTTTCAAAGGCCTGTTGTGCCAGAGTGTGAGAGCGTAGAGCAAATTCATCCTGTTCTTTCCTAGTAGCCCCAAAGGCAGCTGCCAGTCTGTCTGCGGAGTGGCCCATAGTTTCCCCAGAAGAGAATTCGGCCACTGCAGGCAGTTCTGGTATAAAGTAGTCCGGGCGGATGGAAGCAAGTAAGGCCAATCGCTGTTGTAAGGTTTTTGCTTTATTTGCCCTTAACATTAGGCTCCTCATTTTTCTACTGTGTCTTATCGGAATGTCGGACATGAATTCTACCCCTCCACAGACTATCAGGTCGTAAACTCCACTGTTAATCAAACCAACGGCTGAAAGTGGTAATTTGTTTCACAAGTCGTAATTACTGCCAATTAAAATTTTCAATTTGCCTTTATCTACTTATTTACGGAAAATGTAGATAACTAAATAATTTGCAGTTTAAAATAGTTATAAGTCAATCGTTTTTCTTTGATAACATATCACACATTTGCAAACTAAAGTTTGTCAATAGTAGACATTTAACGTAAAGAACAATACTTTTTGGAATTCTAAATTTGGTATACATACTTGAAAACAAGTCACTGCTATAACTTTATTTATGAAACTTTGATATATACAGGGTGTACACTAAATTTTCATTTATAAACCCTAAAAAACCCGATATTTCTAGATTTCCCGGGTACATTTAAAAAATTTTCAAGTTTCCGAAGAAAGATCGATTATGTTTCCATTTTGCAATCATCACTATTTAATTTCTCTTTAGAATATTTCCCACGTAAACATTTAACAAAGTAAGGCTATTAAAAAAAATATACATATTATTTGCACTAAAAAGGAAACATTTTTAATTATGATGATGATAAAACTTTTTTAATAACTTTTTCTTGCTGAATACCAAATAGGGAAGATTTAGATGTAAGGATGTTACGGAGATTTTATTAAGACATTTAAATATGCTAAAATTACACATTACAAAAAAATACATATGAAAAATGTGGCATTTTTACCCAAAATCCGATGACCCTACTTAATATTCAAAAGCAGCAAATTTTAAGAAATTTTCAATATTTTTTCAAATAAAATCCAAACTGCCTAACAGGAATAGAATTATTTTTAGTGGTATATTGATAATCATTAAATTCTGTACTACTTTGCCCTTTAGGCTTTTTTCCAAGATCCTTGTTGTGCAGTGTTAATTAAATATGGTTCAGATTATAATTGGAATTTAAAAAAATTCCCTGAGAATTTGAGAAATTCCGTGATAATTCCCAGTTTTTCAGACTAAAGTTCACCCTGTACCTACATACTATGTTTATATGTGTATTAAGTTACCTGAAGCTATGGCAACATTTGACGAGATGCACGCCATTGTAACAGTATGAGCAGGGGTATTCTCATTGTAACCAGCTGCTAAGGCTGCTTCTCGGGCAATATTCGAGGTTTTAACCTCTTGAATGACCGTTCCGTAAATGACATAATCAACAAGATCTTTCGAAATTCCAGTCTTTTTAAGTATACCACTAGAAAAGAAAATGTTTTATTATGGACAAATAATGTAAAGAACATTTATAATTTTACCTAAGTGCGTGTTTGGCTAATTCATGGGGCATAAGTTTGTTATAATCAGTTCCAGACAATAAAAATGGGGTGCGGACTCCATCTAGCAGAACTACACTTTCTCCAGATTTTGGGGCAAGGGTCTTTTTTTGATTGTTTTGAACGCCGAGTGAAAATGCTCTAATACTGTCTAGGAGAAAAATATATATAAATTAGACGTTGAACTTTGTACGAATATCCAGATATAAAATTAACCTTATTTCTAGAGAAATATACTTACTTAATTGCTGTCCATTTATTACCGAAGCGACGACAGGCCCTTTTACAATACTTTTTGCAATGTATGAAGCCATTTTTTAAATACTAAATGTTTAAACTCTGTGCTAACTCAGTAACTTAAAAAGAGAATGGAATGGAAATAATTTTCATAAACAGTTTCATACGTTTTATTCCTCGACCTTGTACCCCACTGTTGCCAACGTTAGGTAAACAATGGGGGCAGAGTTCAAATTAAAAAAAGGGTGGTTATTTTTAGGCTTTGACATAGAACTTGAAAAAGAGGGTTTTGCTCTGATATAAGCATAAAATATTTAAGTAAAGATTTAAAATACCTAACAGAGGTTCAATAACGGGGGCAAATTGCACTATTAATATATTATTTAAAGAAATGGCTACCTTGGATGATTATGGTAAGGCCACTTCTATCTTTAAGCTATAAAAAAGTATAAAATAAAACTACTAATATAAATATATAAATATTTTTAGACGTGTGCGTGTAATTCACATGTAGGTAGTGAACTTTTGACTATAACGTGTACCACAACGTGTACTGTACGTCTCAAAGGTTATAGAATATATTTGAACATAAAAAAATTGGCCGCGAAAGCAGATCGAGGGAGTGTATGTGTGTATTATCACCCTGTATAAAAAATACAGATGAGTGCGGATCCTCTATGAAATGGCAAATCTTACATTTGGAATTACAGTTACAGACTAAAATATGACGATTGGACTTACTCTAAAACAAATATTCACGATTTAAGAGATACAGGGTGTAGAATATTAGAATTAAATTTGAAATTTCTCAATAATTTTGAAAGTTTTTCTAATATGTAGGCATAAGCAAAGAAATTATGTTTTATATTGTTTGGCACAACAAATAAAGAGAATACTTTTATATATTTTATTTTAAAAACATGCAGACTATTCTCGAGTTATTGCTTTTTATTGGGTACTTAAGTACTTACCTATATCTATTACAGTTATTCAGCGTTTTAACTGAATTTAAAATAATTCTAGAACTATTTTTTCACAAAAGAAGTTTGGAAAAAATAGAAAACTTCTACATTAATAATTTTTTCTAGAAATACGATTTTAACTATCTTAGGAATTTGAAATTCATGGAAAATTGAAGAGTGGTGTAGAAATTTCGAATTTTTGAGGATGTATATACCCCCTACTACCTCTTGCAACATGCAAAATTTATATATTTTGTAGGTATACAAATTTTTCAAATTTGATTTTTGAATAAAAATTGATTCACCAGTGAAAACGGCCAAATTTAAAATGTATTCTTCATTCTGCCCCTTTTTCAAAAATAACAATTTTGTTTCCCAGCGGCATGCCATGGGCAGTTGCATAATCAGGGGACCAACATTATGCTTCAAAAAAATTAGAGATGCGCAGAATTATTTGTTGTATTCATAATTCCCGCAAAAATTTTTTGAGGTTGGTACATATAGAATTAAAGATATTTAATTATTTAGCCATCGATGATTTAGCCATTTTCTTGTAATTTTGTTGGTAATTGTATAACTGAAACTGACATTTTAAAAATATAACCTTCTATATGTCCATATTTTATTATTTTTGGCAAAGTTAGCGATTAGTAAATAGTAATCAGTTGACTCTTAATTTAATATTTAATACACATAGTTTATAAATTGAAGTATTACGCCAAAATCAACAGTTTGGTTATATTTTTCTGAATTGAGTATCATTATAAAATATGTAACCTGCTCAAAAACATTTTTTAAGAATTCCACTAAGATGGAAAAACATTTAAATAAGCGTATTGGCTATCCGGGGAAAATTAGAAACCAGTTCATAAAAAAGTCTAAAGGTAGGTAATAAGTAAAATATATCGACATATTCATTAAAATAAAAGCAATATTTTGCTTTGTGTACCCTCAAACAGTGATCTGTGAAAACATGTCACTCATAGGTGCCTTATTAGATTCAAGGTCAAAAGTACTTTTTCTGACATTTCCAACGGACAAGTCCCTATCACACTTTTCCAAAAAGTGCCCATCTCTACAATTTCTATATGTAACGTTTCGTCTCTCCAGGATCATGATTAACTTCATTGTTTTAAATACTGTCCAGATTCAGACGTTTCGTCTCGAAAAATTCATCTTCATTCTTGCATTGTATTATTCACTTACAATAAAGTAATTTTAGAGACATTTTTAATAAATTCCACTAGCAATTTAGTTTCCCTTTAAATTTTGATTCATACCTCTAGTGTAAGGAACTTGGAAGAAATAAATAAAACATTAATTACTAAATAATTATTTATTAAAAAAAATTTGTATCACAGACATATGCCAACGTAATCTTGCTCTATGTAGTCCGGTGTTATCCTGTAAAATTAAAAATTAGATTAATATCAAATTATTAAGTAACTAAAATCAAAATGAAACTGAGCTTCGACATTTAAATTTTTTATAAATAAATAATGAATGATCCTTATTTTATTTTTAACAAGATCAAAAAATTCTTCCAGAAACCTCCACCAGAAACTCAGTTTCTTCTTGATGAGATGCTGCCAGTATTCAATATGTTTAACATGACTGGACTTACATAAAAATAAATATCGAATTTAAAATTAAATAAAAAAATTAAAACGAACAATGTATTACGTATTAATTGCTAGGAAATAATAGTAAAAGCACAGTTATTAGGAAAAAAATCATGTTAAACAGGCTTTCCATCTGTAAATTTTTATTTTAGTATGTACCATGCAGTAAATATTTAAAAAATAAAAAAAACGGATTATTTAAAGGTTTACGTTTAATATTACGTTTTAAACATACATTACCTGATGTCGAACGGAACACTAGAATGTTTTAAAATCAATTATTATTATTATGGGGGAAATTAAGAACTTTAGAGAACTTTACATTTTATTGTAGACTTACACAATTACATTTAACTGGTTAGCTAGATTAAACATATATATTTGTATTTATAGAGCTATTCTGTAAGTGTTAGTGACGCGTTCACACATTTGCTCTCTCCGGTTCTTATAGAATAACTCATTTTACAATTATAAGTACATTTAAATGTTTATAATCCACATAGATTTACGTAAAGCAGATATTAAGAAAAAGGCTATTAAATTTTTAATTGGATAATTTAATACAATCGCTCCGATTGTAAATTTTTAAAATAAAAAATTTCATTAGTGCAACAAAATTAATTTCTTTTTAATGTATAAAAAAGAAAAGTAACATTTATTTAATAATAAACATGTTAATCCAAAGATTTTAATACAACGTAGTCAAAAAGTCTAGAAATATATTTCTACTTTTACAGAGCTAATTTATTTCGACGGACGAGTATAGGGAGAGGTTCTATAACGAGAACTTTCAGTATGACGGGTGCTCGATGAAGTTGTAGGAGATTTATACGGCTTCCAAGTCCGAGATGACGGTTCTGTACACAACGGTTTAAAAAATAATTAGAAACAATTTATGGTAGCTTTATTATTTATGGTTTAAGGTTTAGTTTAAGGGACGCGATTATATGATTTAAGGGTTGATTAGTTTTATGTATTATTTAAAAATATGGCACAACTTTACGAACATTGTACCCTATTTTAAGTTATCATCCTTATACTGGAATCGGGTTTTCTTTTTATTTTACGGATCAAATTTATGGATCTGTTAAGACCAAAAAACTTACCGTATGAGGTGCTGCTCTCTCGGTAATAGTCGGGTTCATAGTCTGCTTCGTAATGGTGCGACGGGTATGATCTAGAGGGCGGCATGGAAGAAGAGTATTCGTACGAAGGAGGCGACGGCGTGTAACCGTCCTCATCGTAGCCGTAGCTTTCCTCCATGGCGACACGTGCGCGGTCCAAAATTGACATGATCTTTGTCTTGGCCGGCATTACCCTAGGAGTGATGACTGGGGTTCGTGTTGCAGTTCTCATTACAGGGGGCGCTCTTGGTAGCGCAGCTGGATTTAAAATTAAAAAACGAGTTCAAATCACTTCGCACAAAACAAGTAGTTCGAAAACTCAATTGTCCGATAAATAAATAATAAAAGATAAATTAAAGTTAGGTTGGACATTAATAGGCCGTTAAACTCCAGGAGGTATGGCAATCAATGCCCTTATATTTATTACCCATTTTTTTTTCTTGTATATCTTTGTACATGTAACCTTTATGAGTGCAAAGACTATACTGTTATCGGCAGAGTTATATAGAGGGTTTTAGGGGTGAGCTTGACAAATTTTGACGTTTGTAGGCCGCTAGGAGGTACGCCCTTATTTATTACTCTATTATAACAGTTTAATGAGTAAATTGGCTCTTTTTGTGGTACATGTTCTTAGACCTGTGAGCGTTAGCTGCTGTATCTCCTGGCCATAGGCAGCTTAGGCATCTCTAAAACTGCACAATGTCAAGAATTATGCCTCATACATGTTACAATAAATGCAAATATATTTTTGCAAAATCGCAAAAATCCCGTTCGTATGAAAATTTGTTGTATTATAAAAACGCAGTTACAGAAAAATTCTAGAGAATTTGTATCAATAAATATTTTTTTGTTATCGTTCTGTGTTATTATGCATCATAAATTACATCGAATGTATTAATATACAGGGTGTAACTTTAAGTGGGAGTTTTTTAGTGGTAATAGTATGTGTTCCCATGAATACGAATCTGAAATTCTTCTTTTTTAATCAAATAATTACTCGAGTTACAATAGTTTTCTAAAATGCACTTCAATACTTGTGTATGCTGTCGCTGTAATCATGTATTACAAATACATGAATTGTAGGCAACCTACAATCAGGGTTCGTAGTGGCCGGGAAAACCGGGAATACCGGGAAAAGTCAGGGAATTTGTTATTCTTCATAAAAAACAGGGAATAGTCAGGGAATTTTAAAAATATTCATGAAAGTCAGGGAATTTGATGTTTGCAACTGGAAATTTTGTGAAAGCCGGCCCTGGGTTCTTGAAAGAAAACTATTTGTGGTTTTGAAACCTTTATAAGAGGTTGTTATTTGGAGTCCAGTCGAAAAAAAATTTAATGCATAAACACCAATTAGTATGTAAAAATGAACTACAAGTGACCTGGATTTCTTTTTTATAAGTCAGGGAAAACCTGGAAAAGTCAGGGAATTCTTTATTACTTTTGAACTATAAACCCTGTACAATGCGCGTGAAGGGAGATCAATTGTTGTTACGGTTTTGGAGACAGCACATTTAACTGTGAATTTGAATGTTTTTCATCGTTGGAAGCCATCAACAGACTATTTATTTTTGTGTATTTCATTTAGTTTTATTGATTATACTTTTTGAGGTTTTGCTAGGTTAAGTACTGTTTGTGTGGCATACATCCACTCAACAAAAGTAACTCATGGCGAATGGTGTAGAATTGTGTATGCACTGAGACTAAAGCGTGCCATTATTTGAGGTTACACTAGTTTCTCCTGCGGCAGGGTACAAAAATTACTAAAAAACAGGTTAAAAAAAACTTTTTACGACGGAATTTGATTAAATAAACTATTGATACACGTTTCTAAAGGTTAAAGGAAGCCTCTGTATAAATATGACCCCATTCGACGTTACACCCTGTATAAACTGTTATTCATCTTGAAATAATTAATATTTCTAGGGATCAGATTTTTTTTTTAAACTTTACCTTTTCCCTCTATAAATTTTATTTACTTAATGCCAAATTAAAGCCCTCAACCGCATTGTACAAAATCTTAAAAAGCTTTGATGTAAAATAGTCAATTCTACGAGAGTGACAGCTAATAATAAAATTTTTGTTGGATATTCACAAATTATGTAGTTGTGTTTAAACTTATTGCAATTGTAATTAAAAAATAAATATGCTCTACAGAAAATCAGTAGGACAAATAAGAAAAAGTTTAAAAATAGTAATTAGATCATTAATTATGACTATTATGAGCAAATTAGAAACAGTACAGATAAAGCCAACGAAAAAGGTAAATTTAAACCATACTTTGGCAAATAATAAAAAAAATAATTAAGTTTTTTATAAACTAAATATGGCAGAACAGAGAACAGAATCTAGACTTAAACCTTTACATAGTTGTACCACAGTATCGCTGAAGGTGATTGATGACATTCTATCAAGATCTGATAAGGGTGAATTTAGCGCTCTCGTTTTATTAGATTACTCAAAAGCATTTGATCGAATTAACCATCAGTTGCTTCTGGCAATACCGCCTTACATGGGTTTCAATCAAAATGCCATAAGCTTAATTGAAAACTATCTTAGGCATAGAATACAAATTGTTAGACTGGAAAATATTTATTCAAAAGCATTAAATATTATTAATGGTGTACTTTAAGGTTCCGTTCTGGGCCCACTTCTCATTTGCATTTATATTACTAATATAAAAAAGTTGATATGCATTGCTGTGCTGATGACATACAACTGTTGATTTCATTTAAAAAATCAAATTTACTCCAAGCACATATTACAAATAATGTTTTAAGTTAAGTTAAGTTATCCAAATAAATGAAAACGTATTTTGTTTAGACAAAATTTGAAATATTCGCATCGGTAATACAAAAATAAACATTCACGATTCTGTCAAGAATTTAGGTGTTATTATTATGGACTCCTCCTTAAGGTTTTTAAACCATAACATAAGTATAAAAAAGGAATTTTTGTAATTTGTGGTGATTTCATGCAGAATTATCGTATAAGAATGTTATTCATCTGAATAACATCAATATAATAATATCTCAGATAGTAAAAAAAATGAAGGACTTAACATGAAGAATCCTAGAGCTTTACACTGTTGCATTTTCTATTATCACCATTACAAACAAACAAAACACCTATTTAAATCTCAGCATTTCTTAATATTTTTTATCACTTACGTCTCAAAATTGCGGAGGCTGGAGGCCTTCGAGTTCTTGGTTCTGCTTCTTCAGTTGCTCTTCCAGGGGTGTCGGAAGAAGAAGTCATAATCTCCATCTCTCTCATTTGTTCCTGTCTGATATTATCGTTGTTGACTGGGATCAAATATTTCCTCACTTCGGCGAGGGCATACGCGACTCGAGCGTGTGCCTCAGCTGGTGGGCCTAAAGCGGAAATTTCAACGTGCAGGTCATCGGATAAGTGACTGTATTTCGGGTCGAGGGAATTGCGGCACTCTTCCTCTTTTTGACGGTCTTTCATCGAACCTCTTCCGAGAACAGCCATCTTGCACATGGTCTCCTCCTGAAGTCGCTTCATGGAGTTGCCTTTTGGACCCAGAAGTTTCCCAACAAAATTGAACTAAAAATTTGTTTTCTAAATAATAAATCGCAAATGAAGTTAAGGTCATGTATTCTCTAATTACATATATACAGACAGAATTATCAATTTTTGATAACATTACCTTGGGGTGTTCCCGAACAGGTACCAGTACTTTAACTGTGACTTTAATAGGCTTTTCTCTGTAAATATCCACATACTTTTGCTCCTTTGCTGGTGGCCTTCCCATTTGCTGAATTTTTGTTATTTCTATAATAAAATATCCATGTATTAGTTATATCAGAAAATGTAAGGAAAGTAATCGATAGAGATTATACATTTATTAGTACGTTTTGTAGAAAGTTTAATTGTAATTTGCAGTAATTTTGTTACACACTGCAATGATCGTTGAGAACATGTTATGGCTAAAATACTGAAGTGATGGTGACAGCACACCACTGTCAGTGGGTGTTAAGTATTTTTTGAGACAATCCTCTAATTTACACTAATAAATACAATTACTATGATCATTAATACACAATACATAGTAATGCTTACTCTGTGATTAGTGTTGAAAATAAAATGGTCACAAATCGGAACCACAATCACTCCTTGTATGTTTTTTGCCGCTTGTGTCTTGTAAATGCATGATGGCTGAAGTAATAGCATTTTTCTAGAAGAGTGTAGAGTATTATTTTTTAATAATGGGGTAGTTTTCTTCAAGTGCAAGGAAAACGGAAATCAGTAATTTTTTTACTTTCATTTGAAATTTTATTTTGTGTAAGTTAAAGCACAAAGCGAAAAATTTGGGAAGTCTATTTTTTATGTAGGATTCTATAAATCCAATGATTCTGTGTGCTCTGTTAAAGCCTTCTCCAATTATAATTGAATACGAGAGGAAACCTTCATTGCCATTGCCAGATCGAGGCATTTTAATTTTCTGATCTTTATAGTTTCCGAGAAAATAATTATTGCAGTTATAGTACATACTTTCAAGCATTACATGGCTAGACAACTGTTGTCTCTAACGTGATTCGCAATACGCGTGGAGAGCCACGTGGCCTCAGCGAATCTGAATACTGAAATCCGATTTTACAATAGTCATTGCGATAGTGTTTACAATAGTTTTTTAGTAGTTAGTGTCAACAATGACTTGCATGTATAGCAACTCAGAGTTGATGGATATCGTTTTCATTTATGGTGAAACATTTGTGTTATGGTGAAGCAGGGCAACATTTGTGTTTGTAGAAACTGAGTAAGACGGGCCTAAATGTTTTTACACGTCGTTGGACAAAATTTTGAACAGTTGGACATCACATATGTCAAATTATTTTATTAATTAAAACCACAAATTGATTTTATTAATAATAAGAGCGGCAAAAGCAATTTACCTTTAAATTTCAACATCAAAACATAAATGTTACTTAACCTTTAACTTTTACCTAAAAAATACGTCATTTGCAGGTGCTTAAATTTTTCTTAAACTCGTATTTTACTTTATCCAACAATGTTACAAAATATTTACGAATGTCTTTTGGGGATGCATTATAAAATATTACTGACATTACGAACCGAATCTCTCAAATTCGGTTTAATATAAAGGTGAAAAATTCTTTTGTTAAAAGTATCCGTAAAGGAAATGGGTTTCGGCGGATACATTCACAGGAAACAAAGCGTTAAAATTCAAGAACCCTCGCAAGATTAAAGCCAACCCCATTGAAGGGCCTTTAAAACATTATAAACACGAATAAGCGGGTAAATAATGGGTATAGGGCTCGGAAAAAATGAGGCGGAGAAAATGCGGTTTTCCACCTATTACTGTGGGCCGCAGTGATAAATGAACAGGTGGAAATGGATCGGTTATCCATCAACTTCAGCGGAGGCGAGAGAGGATGGCGTTCCTGCTAGTTGCCGCGGTGTAAAACAAAAGGCGGACAAAAAAAAAGGACCGGTGGAACGGCGTCGGGGTGTGGAGTGTGGACGAATCAATTTATGTAAATCGATGCTCGGATTTTAATTTAATGGAATCGATGCAAGGGCGTAGGTTGCGGGGCTGTAAAGGGTCGTTCGCATTTACTGACACGGTATAGAAACATGTTTTCTATAACTTCTTAGTATCCACATACAGGGTGTCAGTTTTAGTTAGTTAGGGTACGTCTTCTACAGAATATTAATCTGAAATTAATCTTAATTGAGTTACAATTCGTTTACATATGCATCAAAGTTAGTTGACAGAGAACGAAACTGCAATGGAACATAATTTTATAAAATCAGATTGCGCGCGCCATTATTCCATGGCTAGAAATTGGCCTCAATGATTTGGGATCGAGGGGGATTATCCCTCTTTATCCTGCCTCATCTCGTGTAGGCCTGGACAGCCTTCGTAGGTGGGCCCCATCCGTCGTCTACCCCGACCGCAAATGCGGCCGGTGTAGGCGCTTTGTGGGACCTCCTATTGTCCTGGCTGGGCCCCGCCGGCTAGGGCCAGCTATGCTAATGCGGACGAAGCGTCGAATATTAAAAAAATTCCGATTCCGTCTTTTAAAAATTGATATTTTTGCAAATCATTTATATTTATTATGTTGTGTAATAGGCGTTACTATTTGTAATTGAAACTCATTTGTTTTACAGTAATTACGTGTCTGGGTAGCGCAAGTACGCCATAAAGTTACTTATTTCAGTGCTGTGTGTCTTCATTATTTTTGCGCATATCATGTATAGGAATCAAGAAAGATGAGATTCGACAACAATGCACGTCGTAACACCCAAATGGGTATAAAGACGCTGTTAATGTGTGCTGTTTTTGAGGTTATACTAGCCTATCCAGTGGCGGGGTACAAAAATTACAAAAAAAAAGTTGTCAATACGGAATTTGAGAAAACACATATTGTTTTTTAAATTTGTAATGTGCAAACAATTTAACTCGACTTGCAAAATACGATTGCAAAACTCTGAATGTGTAGGCTCCTTGTAGTTCGCCACTACTGTACCGTCCATATTTACCATATTTACTATGCAGATTGGGCTCTGTTTAGTCCGACTCTCAGTCCGACTGTAATCAAATAACAACTATTCACCGCTTTTTTTCTTAATAAACGTAATTTGTTCTTGTGTGTTTTTTAAAAGATTGCAAAAGTTTAAATTGATTGTAGTGACAGTAATGCTATCTATTGAAAAATCAATGTTGCGAGAAATACCATACTTTCATGAAAAAGTAATTTAAAAGTTTATTTCGGACAAAAGCAGAAGAATGGATTTTCACTATCAAAAATAATGTTGAGTACATTTTCCCTATATTTCAATAGTACCTACTTAAAATAATTCTACCCAATTGTATTTTACTTTTTTTTCAATACTTTGTACCTAAATTTTTCGCCCTCCTTGCTATGGAAGACATGAGCCGCCACTGATTATGACTAAAAAACTATTACTCGTACATCGTACATAGCTAATAGAAATGGAAAATGACGCCACCATACTGTGTGCAATTCTAGGTCCTAATCGATTATACCTACCATCAAAAGTAGAACACGGATTGAACTATTAAACAGTTCTCCAGATAAATTTACATCTATTATCTCAAGTAGGTTAAACAACAAAATTGAAGTGCAATCGGTGTAAAATTGGTATTCCTTAATTGCCAAGCCTTGAGGGTTGAACGAATTTATAGTACAGACGCTTCATAAATGTTTACAAGCCGCGTGACCGCAGTATATACCTACACACTGGAACGGATGCATATTGTTATATTCATGAGGCCAATTTTTAATATATGCAACCCGTCGTGAGAGGGCTTTCCGTCTCTCTCGCACTCATTGATATTAATGGAAGTTAGAAGGGAATTACTTTTAAAACGATTTTTTTTTATATTCTTATTAATTTCCTTTCGTTATGAAATTGATGTGAAGGTAAACTATTAATACAAATTTAAATATTAGGAACAGAAAATATAGAATTCTAGGTATTAGTAAAATTATCATAAACAATAATGTAACGAAAAGAGACACAAATCCCTCCCGCTTATGGCTTCTCTTTCTATGCCCCTGACGCAAAAGCACTCAACAAAACAGTCAAAACACGGTAGATTCCCTCCAGTATGTATATAATTCATTGCCGCCGAGCTTAAGCAACTCACATTGCAGGGCTGGTGCTGACAACGAAAAATCCCTAAATCTTGACGTCACCAATATTAATGATTCGTTTACAATGAACAATGACAAACTTTTACGTCACTCTCAAGATAATGCGACCGCTGATTGGTTGAATAAAATATCGTGAAAAATTAGGCCAATCAGCCAGTGAAATAATTTTTAATTTTACCGAAATTTAATAGACTCTTTTAGTGTGACGTCACATATTTAGGCAATCTGCAACAAATTGTCATAGTTGAAATTGTGCAGACCGAATCATATTCTTGTGTACAATTTACATAGTTACTATAAAACGTGTTTCGTAAAATAGATACACTAATGTGCTTAAAATTAAAAAAAAACAATATAAAAGAACATTCCTAAATTTAAATAAAGTGAAAATTTAACATTAACCGTGTTATTCCTAATGCGCATGCTTAATATATCATCGCTGTCATCATCATCTGTATTTTCTCTTCTTTTGTTTAATCTTGGCACTTTTTAGTTCTACCATGTATTTTTATTGTTTTTCTTGGCGCTGTTCTGTGTCAGTGTGTTCATCGAGTGTTTATTTCTTCAAGTAGTTTATTATAGACGTACTCTTAACCATAACCAAACTTTTCCTGAATGATATCCTGTGGAAAGGCTACTTCGCTTACATTAAATTATCTTTAATGCGCATGCTCAGTAACACTGATACAATTTTAATTTATTAATTACTTATAAAAGTCAAAATTGTTCTATAAATTTAAATATGTAAATTCTATAATTCTATTAGTTTGTCACTTGGGAATTGAAACTTCTTAAATATTTCTAATATTGCCAGAATATCGCGATATTTAAGGTCATGACAAAGAAACAATTTTTTTGGCTCTTATATCCAAAGTACATCAGGTCGAAAATCGATCTAGTAAAAATATTGAGAAATTCTTCATGACAATGATTGTGTACTATGGGGCTGCCTATTATTTAGCGTATGTGACTAAAAAGGTCTATTGCCAACATGAAGGAAATAAAATTACTGTTCCAAACAAAATTACTGCACATGTGGCTTGTAATAATTTATTAAGGCTCTGTAGTAATTGGCGGTATCGAATACTGTTCATAGTCGTAAGAAATTTAAAGTATTATATAAAAAAT